ATAGAACAATTTATCTAAAAATAGCAATTATATTTTATAATTTTAATTTAAAAATAAATTAATTAAATAGGAGAATTTTTTAAAAATAATTCGAATTATATAAATAAAGAAATAGAATATATACGAAACATGTATTATACTTTCTTGTATAATAAAATAAATAAGAGCTTATATAAAAATTATATTGATGTGGATAACAGAAGTTGACCTCTTTCTCGGTTTTCCTCAAGCAAAAATGATAAATGTTCTTGTTTATCACTACTTATACGCTAGTAATAAAATGCACATTTGAGATTAAAAAAAAACAGCATTAAAAATCCGAGTCGTAAATATTATAAAATGCTTATTTATTTAATAAATAATCAGTAAAATAAAAGTGTAAATGTATATATAAACATAGCATCATTTGTTATAACCTCTTACATTCTTTAAGTATTTAATTTTATAACCGAGAGATCAAAGTAAATGGAAGCTTACATGAAAAATGACTAGTTACGACGTCATTAATTATAGTTACAAGTGTCTAACGAGTGCTTAGTCTTACAAGACACGTTTTAAATATGAAATAAATGAAATTCTTTACCGTTTCCTTCAATTGTGAGCGTACATTCGGCGCCAGAACATCGATGTTCAGGATCAGAAACTTTGAGTACTGTCGGACGTCTTGGTGATGCTACAGGATCGATGTCCGATATTTCGGGGCTGGCACAAGGAGCTGGTGGGCTATCGCTCGTTGGTGTACCTATAGTGCAGTCTGAAGGCTCTTGTAGCTTTGGAACAAAATTTTCGTTCGAAATGATCGAATCTCTCGGTTGAGGAACATTTTCGGATATATGAACCGATTCCACTCTCTTCATGGCACTCTGTCCGGGTTGCCAAGGTGGTCTTATGCGTTTTGTTCGTAAAGATATGGCATGTGGTACTTCTTCTCTCCTCCTCTTACGTTTTGTGTGCCTATACCATCGACAGAATTTTCTTCTCGCTCTTCTCCACAAATGGGCCAAATATTTGATGATTTCTGTGTAGCAACTTGTCGGTTCTGAGGCACTGTTACTTGTCAATGTACTATTGGAATGAAATCTCGCACGTTCTAGTCTCATGCGTTCCATCTCCCTTTTCTTCGTTTCAGAGAATTGAGTAGCAATCACAACCAAACAGAGGTTGATCATAAAAAATGATCCAATCTGAAATATATAACAATATTAATTATGAAGTTTAATTACAGTATTACGATTATCTAATTAGTGAACATTTAAATTACAATAATAGCAATAGCACATTAAATGTACAGAGTATAGTCTCCGTTATTTGCACGAAATTCAACAATTCTGTGTATTAAACCAGAAGAAACTCGTGTATTTTTGACTACTTGAATGAGATCGAAATTTATCCTTTAAATGGTTAACTAACTTTTGAAACACCCGAATTATTAAAGATAAAACTCAAAATTTTAAGATTTTTAAGCAATTTGACTAAAACAAGTAGTTTATGGTACGATTTTTTAAATCTTGTAATATTTTTACAATTTAAATTAAATATAAATTTTAAAGAAAATTAATAATGATACATTTTCCAGAAGTTAAATAAATTTAAATGTTAAAAACCTGTAAACTTTGAAAGCAATATAAACGACTTATTTGCATATTTAATATATTGTATGTTAATTAAATATGTCGTACAGAATGAACCGCACTTGAATATAAAGTATTTTCTTTACAAGTTTAAAAAGTATATAAGCTTTAAGTAAGAAAGTCCACAAATAAAATCAAAGGTTTTGTTTTATATATAAGGAATATTTTAAAGAAAATTTTGATTTCTTCTGGATTTAATTGAAATATTCCTTTAGACACCAGTCTGGGTTTTTGATGTATTGTAGAATCAGTTTTAATCTAATTCTAATACAAAAAAAGTACTGAAATTGAATAAAAATACTTATAATTTGAGTTATAGTTTAAATATTCACTAAAATAAAGTAATTATTTTATTTAAAATAGAATAAAATTACATATAATAAGCATTTTTCTCAGCAATTGCATAGAAAGTATATAGAATATGCTATCTGTCCGCCTGACCTTCCTTAATCTCAAGAACGGAGTTAGATAAATGAAATTCAAGGGCAGGAATGAAAATATTAGGGACCGGAGACCCCGATTTACTATACAGGAACTTCCAGTCTAGACCAGAAATTACGTGATTTTTAAAATTAAAATATATATTAACACTTGCAGCCCGGCATTATCACGATAAATAACGGATTTTTTCAAATTAATTTTAACGCAAAAAAAAAAAAAAAAA